TGTACATTGTACATGTTGTACATGCCTGTGCCATCCTTTGTAATAAACACCTTGCCCTGCTTATCCCGCTTTTGTGAAGGTGGGTCACATGAATGTCCTTTCAATGCTCATTATACATGCATGTATTTGCAGTGATTTTCATTTTTCAAAAATGAGTACAAATGTCGTAACATTTGATAAAAATACAATTTGTCCTTCCGTTACCGTCCTTCCGTTACCAATTTGGTAACGGAAGGACGTGATTTAATTAATTGTAATTACAAAACGAGAAGTACAGCAGTGTCAGTTATAATGTCATTTTGAAGGCCTACCTAAACTTGCTTTGCACAATAACTTTCAATGCATTCATACTGCAAGTTTTAAAAATAAATTAAAAATATGTATTTTTTCGGTAACGGAAGGACATTTTCGAAGGCTGAAATATTAGAAGTCACTGAAGCGAAACAAATTACGCAAAACATTAAAAACAAGTTTCAGTCAGTTTTTCAAGGCCAATACTTTCTCATGACAGAAACTGATGGCATTAGTACATATTTTTGTGTGTGTATTGGTAGAATACTTTCATATCACTATTAATCACATTTTTAGGATTAAAACAGGATTATTATGTAATCCTATTTTTTGTTACCGAAATGTAACAAAAGTAAAATTCCGACTTCAAATCTTGAAAATATAGACTTTTAGCTTTCATTAGATGCCAAATTTGTTTAAGTCACATGTATTTGAATTTTTTGGTGTCATGTCCACTTTGGTGTGGAATTGCCCCTCTGTTACATCCACATTAACCCTAACCGACCTGAATCCTCCAAAATCCTTTTTGCAAATTGGAGGAATTTGCAGGATTGAGGTTACATGGCAAAAGTGCGTTGCTGATTTCGGAGTATGCACTGTGTCAAGGTCTCGGGCCGGACCTTGTGTTGTTTATGCTCAGCCATGCATAAATTTAGTCCTTGATTATACTTGAAATCCTCCGCACTGCTCCAGGATGTCACTGCCTCTGCCTCAGCCTATTGACAGACATACCCGGAGGATTTTGCAGGATTCAGGCAGTGGTCATCCCTCCATGGACCATATTCAAGAAATAACGGAGGAATTTGCAGGATTGAGGCTATATGCTATTTTTCCATGAGGCCAATTGGAGGATTTTGCAGGATTGAGGCTACATCCTAGCAAAAAGGCCTAGGGAGTTAGGGTTAAGGTATTGTTTCTGCTATATTTGAACCCTGACTATACCAAAACAAAAGCTTTTCTTGGTGCATTGGGTGTCCAGTTATAAATATGCAATGTCAGTTTGGGTAATATTTTACTTACGTGTAAAATATGGCCCAAAAAAGAATATTTGGATGTAACATTGACACGGTGTCAATGTTATGTCCGAATTAATACATTTTTGCTCATATTTTTGTCGAAGTACATTCAAATGATTTCAAACTTTCTCAAGTATTGAAACACCCTAAGACAAATTTCATTAGATTAGATTAGATTAGAAATTTATTGTCCGCATCATAAAAATACAGAAATTTAGTTTCCATTGGCTCATTTAAATATAAAACTACAATTCGATAAAACAATAACTTATCCACAAAATTTACACAAAATTTAAATATGAGTAAAATTCCAAAATTTAAAACTACAAGTAAAAATACAGAGTCTGAAAAATGAACTGGGGAACCTGCAGCAAACATACAAAAAGGAATACCCCTATTAACGAACAGCCAAAGTGTTAAATAAATGAATGTTGGGAACAAAGGATTGCCTGTATCGGGTAAGGTTTGTGCGAGGAACACAGAGTCTGAAACCAGATCTTTTTAAAAAACAAAACAATCAAAAAGTGGATGAGGTGGATCTGACAGAAAGAAATGAACTTTAGATATTGCACGTTCCAAAAAGATTTTGTCGTATGTTGGCAAGGTGAGACCGACAGAGCGCTGAGCCATTTTACGAATGCGCTCAAACCTGTCCTTATTTTTCTGTGAAAGTGAACCAAATACACTAACTATGTCAAAAGTGACAGTGCTCTGGATTATAGACTGATAAAATAGACGTAAAATCGTCTTATCGACATTGAACTGTTTAAGCTTACGAAGGAAAAACATCCGTTGCATGGCCTTGCTAAAAACTACCTGAGTGTTTTTGTTCCAGTTTTAGTTTCTCATCAATAACAGTCCCAAGGTATTTGTACTCATTAACCCTCTCTATTACGCTGTTATTTATATAAACAGGTTCATGAACTCCAGTGTTGTGACGAAAATCTACAATCATCTCTTTAGTTTTCTTAACATTAATAGTCAAAAAATGACGATCACACCAATCCACAAACTTTGCTACCTCCGATATATAACAGAGTGGATCATCCTTTAAGTACCGGTAGCCTGTAATAACCGTGTCATCTGCATATTTGATTATGCTACAGTTGGAACTTGAACAAAGACAATCACTTGTATAAAAAGAAAATAACAGCGGTGAGATGACACACCCTTGAGGGGCACCTGTGTTGATTATCCTAACCTTAGAAATAACGTCTCCAATTTTTACCCACTGTGGCCTGTTCAATAAAAAATTATGAATCCACTGTACTATTTTCGGTGACACATTCATTTGCATAAGTTTTTCTATTAGAATGTGAGGTTGTATTGTATTGAAGGCACTAGAAAAGTCTATGAACAATGACCTAGCATAAGATTTTGGTTTGTCCAAGTGACTGTACAGTTTATGAAGATAAAGTAGTACCCCGTCATCAACCCCTCTATTGCTCTGGTATGTAAAAACTCCCTCGGGTATTAAAATGAATGAGCACAATTACTTTTGTACTGTCAAATATATACCGGTACATGTGGGTCATTTGATAAAATTTATGGGGAACACATTGTTCCTGTCCTTGTACTGTAATTTGACATTTGAATATCATTAAGAATGACTTCTATTATTTGTTGGGTAGGTACCAGTTCATGTAGTTAGCTATTTATAATCACTCTTGGAGGACAACTGCATAAATTAAGGAGTGCGTTAGAATTAATCATAGATGTCGGATGTAACAAGGACAGGAAAAACAGCGGGCCCCAAATTTATAGAATGACCCATGTGTGATTGAAATTCCTTCACTTACCCTGGTACTTTTAAGTACAAGTACAAAATGAGAGTAAGCACATCTGTACATGTATGTATTTCTTTGGGAAAAAAAATATGGTAAACAATCAAAAAAGGCCTTTTATCGTCTCACCTTCCCTTCATTCAAATGAACATAGGTCTACAGTAAGCGGAAACGAGTCCAATCAAACATGGGTAGGCAATGGAGTGGAGTGCTGTGGCCTTGTGGTTGAGGGCATCGGATTTGTGGTCTGCGGGTAAAGCTGCAGGTTGTGGGTTCGAGTCCAGCCTGGGTCATGGTGCGCGTGCCCTTGGGCAAGGCACTTTGTCACTCATTGCTTCTCTCCACCCAGGAGTAAATGGGTACCTGTGAGGGCAGAGATGGTTATTGTGATTGAATTACATGTAGCTTCCTTGTGCCTAACAGGCAGCATCAAGCTGTATACTCCCAGGGAGCTGAGATGGTATTTGGAATGTTTCATGGGCCCAATGAGCAGGGGTAATAAATGATGTAGCGCCTTGAGCACCAGTCCTGGTGGATACGAGCGCTTTATAAAAAGTCACTTTTATTCATGCATCCTGTTCACACAAAAATACATGTACACCAGTATTTACAATAGTCAGCTTTAGATTTTTGGATTTTACCCGTGTAGAGCACCGAACCTATGTGGAAGCCGTGTTGGGTTCTTGCTAGTGTCAAAGGAGTTCCTGAAATTAGATTTTGGACCGGGGTCCAAAATGAGATTTTGGATGGTGTGGAAAGGCCCTAGAAAGTGTGGTGGCTGACTAATAATGTCACCCTTTGTCCAGTCTTTACAAGACCTAGTGGTTAACATTCGTTAGGCAAGGCACTTAACCCCTACCTGCCCTCTCTCCATCCAAATATAAGTGGGTATGTGCGTTATTTTATAAATTAGGGGTCCAAAGTGGGACATTGCATTAAAAGGGCTCGAAAACTTGAAGTTATTTTAAGTATGGTCACTGTTGCTTTTCATATTTTGAGATGTATTTACTTCCGTCAGGATGGTTAAGTGCAAGCCTTTTCAATAAAAAGGCGATCCTTAATAACTTCATGTCATCTGAAATATTAAAAACATGAGGTTTTACACGTAACTGGGACACCACAGGACACCATGTTACGTGTGAAATATTACAAATGGTCATACATTTTTGTTTCTTAGCAATGCTGTCTTGTTGTTTTCTTATCCTTTTATTTAATGGACAGAATTTGCAAAATACCAAGGAAAGGTAAACAATGTGACCATGAAAGACACTTTACACACAGCGGAATTGTTCACACATGACTAACACACGACACACAGGGACTAACAGGGACACGGGGACACCAAATGTTACCGTACATGTGAAACCATAATATTGGGGAGCACCATATCACATCTTCACACGTTTATTTCTTTAAAAATTGCATCTCATGTTGAAATTGAGTTAGTGCATCCATCATTTTGACCTAAAAAATGGCATAGTTTACCTTTTAAGGAGGCAGAAATGTAAATATTTTGAGACTGCAATTTTTGTCCCACTTTTTAGCCAAAAAAATGTGAATTTTTCGGCATATTTTTAACCAAAACAGGAACTAAATGGGTTCAAGATAACAAATTTGTAGGTTTTATTAATGCAACTTTTATTGGTGTTTGATACACTTAAAGTATCTTTAACTTTAATACATTTCCTATTTGGTTATAAAACAAAAAAAGACCCCTAATTTATAGAATGACCCATATAAGCATTAGCTGGGGAGTGACCTGCAACGGATCGGCATCCCATCCAGGAGGGATAGAAATATTCCCAGTCATTTCATTACAAGGAAACCGGAGATACATGTAAACACTGGCCTGATTTAGCCGTATGCGCTTGTGACAGACTTTACTTACCTGTCTTTACGTCATTTGCAGACACCGCTAACGAGAGAAGAGCAGCTGAAAGTCAGAGCACGGAAGCTCTTAGACCAAGCCCGGCGAGATGCTGCCAGTAAGCAGAGTATCCGACGACCGGCTAAGGAGAAGGCAGACGAAAAGGAAGTGCCAAATGAGGTAGGCAAGGGGGGGGGGGTTAAAAGCTTACAAACTTGCTTAACAAACAAAATTGTAAAGGGGGTTACTAGTCTAAACATAGTGAGATGTTAGGTGCTTGTTCCCTGCTTATTGCGTAGCTTGTGCAATGTGCTAAGAATGATTATTTCATTGCTGCTCTTTAAAACCGGACCAGTTTGATGAAGCTTCTTCAGCATCCAAATTTGCTAAGCACGTTCCGCTGAGCAAAACAAAAAAGGGTTACCGGCCAAAGTTCATAGAATGTCCATTGCTTATGACAGGTTCCCTTTTTTTTTTGTCTGAGCTTGTACATCTGTTAAGTAGTATTTTCTGCTTAGCAGGTCTAACTTGGGCTTATTTCATTGAGCTTAAAAGGTGCACTGTTTAATAATGATTGGGTTACAAACCAAAATTTTGTGGGAATTAAATTGCTTGGAAAAAGTTCCCAGCTAGTAGTTTTTTCCTTTTTCTGGACTTTTGTGGTTCCTAAAGCCCCTGTCACACCTTTGCGTATCCTAATTCCTTAAAAAAATTTCAATATGCAGCCGTACGTGCTGCGTATTTATAACTTATGACCTGCGTAACAGCGTACACAGCGTAGTTTTGTGCATGCCCAAAACTATCCTGCGTACTGGGCCGTACCATGCGTATATCTGCGTACATAAAACCTACACAAAACGATAGAGATGCATATGAGGTGCGTATTGTGCGTACGACTGCGTATGAAAAAAACTGTCAATGCGCAACTCATAAGGAATTAGGATACGCAGAAGTGTGACAGGGCCCTAAAGGATGGAAAGTGAAGGTAACTCAGTAGCCCTTGTACTGCCCCAAACCCCCCTGCCTGTTACTCCTTCTGCCCTAAACCACCCTAGCACTTTATGGTTTTATTGATTTTACTGAGGAGTAAATAAAATGTAATACAATTAAATACAAGTGCTCAAGGGTCAAATCATTTTTTTTCACTGATCTGCACTCGACGAGATATTTTTGATGGCTTAATCTGCACTTTGTGGTTAACCAGACATTCCAGAGTGCTGGACTATAGACCATTATCATGTTGCGGCCATGTTGATTTTTTTCCCATTCAAATCAACATAACCAAAGCGAGGCTGGAAGGAAAAATAGTCTGGTTCCTTTCTGCACAAAAAACATGATCATTCAGTACTGTTATTGGATACAGGGAACATGACTGAAATGGTGGCAGCATGATAAAGGTCTGTTGGGTTCTTACTTAAGTACCGGTATCACATCCTGGTGGTTGGTAGATCCTAACTTACAAACTGTTTTCTGGGATTTCTGATGCAGGACGAGAACGAGCGACAGAAGGAGTTGAGATTGCGAGCGAGGCGACTCATCGCGGAGGCCAGACAAGGCATCAACAAACCGGAGATTGAAGGCATCGAGGAGATGTCCCAAGCTGCAAAGGACCAGCAGGAAGGTAAGATTGAAATGCAAAAATTGGCTTTCTACGTACACGGATTGTACATCGATCTGACTTTGTGTGTACTCCAGGTATTCAAGATCATCAGTTGGTCATCAATTTGTGTTTTTCTATAACATGATACAATTGTTGTCTGCTGTGACATAGTCAATGCATTCGAACGTACCGACTATGTTCCCAGTGCTCCCATCTACACTTTGACCAACTCAAACCCTTTTTTGGAGTGTGTAAAAACTCAGCGGCTAAAATTCCTTGGCCACATACTCCGCATGCCAAACGATCAACCTGGACAATTGTATGCCCTTTATACACCACCCCAAGGAAGACAACGCACATCATTTCTAACGTATGTTCAACGCCTGCTTGGAGATAGTGATGGCATGTTGCGACCAGACCAAATCGCTACACTTGCCCAAGATCGCAGTAATGGGAAGAAGCTTGTAGTCACCTGCTGCGCAGACGAAGGATGATGATGATGATGATGACATAGTCCATGGTGTTTTGGACTGTGGGCTCCGTGCACAAGTGCCCACTCAACAGTGCGGAACAGAGAGTTGGAGGAGACCAATGGGAGGGACATTCGTATGCATTGCCGACGATGCTTGATGCTAACGTAAAGACGCTATGGTTTTGTGTACATTCAGAACAGAATTAGTGGTGCGTACTTCATGCCATACGCGCGTGAACCAATACGCGCACGTTGTGGGTCCTCCCACTTGATCTGTCAAAAAGTGGTCAAAGAGCGCTATCCCTTGTTTGTGCACGGAGCTCATATGTCACGACAAAAATTGTTTCGTTTAATAATTTTTTTTTTAGTCTTTTGAGAAGTCGCAAACTGATAATTTAAATGCCATTTTCATAAAAACAAGATTTCTTTCCTATTTTGACACCCCTATGCATTTTATTTGGGGACACTTCGGTCTCTGATTAAATGCGCGTCTGCGTTGACATGCGCGCAGGTCCTTGTTGTCTCGCGCACGCCCGGGGGTATGACAGCTACCTTGTGCCCAGGGTCTGTTGAGCTGTGTTGCACAAAACAGCGGGGACGAAAATGTTCAGAAGTCTTTGAGAACAATGAAAGGGGATGTTCTCAGTTAACAATAGGTGATATGCCCCGCGAAGTCCATCAGGTCATCGTAAGTTTTGCGGCACGTCACGTGGATGGTTCTTAGCCAATGCAGTTGTCGGATTCATTGGTTGTGGCCACACATGCAATCGTTTGAACACTACCAGGCCATTTTTTCTCAAACACTTGAGGGGGTGGTTGATGTTTTTTTGTTTTCAGGTGATCATCCATCTGTCAGTCCCGTTCTACCTTTCCCAATTGTATTTTTGTACTATCAAACATGTCTATAGCGTATTTTTATGAACTGTTCATTCGCTGGTGTGCAATAGTGCCCATCATTTTAAATTAAATTTTCTCAAAATGTACTTTTATGACTTCAATTTAGTTAGCAGTCTATATTTCAGTTACTGTACTCAATACGCCAAAATGTTTTATACCATAAGAAAGCTCTTGTTCTGCAGAATCCAGAACTCAAAATATCTCAATTCTCAAAAAGTCTGATTGTATGCACATTTTGTGGCGACGGGTCACGTACAATGATGCATGTCAATTTTAAATCTAAACCTGCATAAGACAAGATGCTGATTCGGCAAGACTGCAAGCTTTCATACATGTACATTGTAGGTGTATATTGTAAGAGGGTGTCAATTTTGGAATTTTCATTTTCTGAAACATCAAAAAAAAAGAATTGTAGATATTCAATGGCATGTATGTACTGTATTTGATGAGACGGTAGACCTATTTTTGTATCGCATCCAAAATACTTCCTGTCATTACTAGGCCGGCACACTAACTCTTTCTCTCTCTCTCTCCCCGTCCGCAATCTTTTTACTTCGGGTTCAGTTCACTCAATCATGGCGCCAAATCCCCCAACTATTGGATTACTTCACCACCAATATTGATTTCTCGATTTTGATTTTTATCTGACAGAGCAAATAAAAAAAAAAGAAGACCGGAGCACTTTCATTCCACCTCCTTTTGCTTCTTGAATACTTCCTTATTTTAAAACCAGTTTTCAAAAAGAAAAGGAAGAGAAAGAAAAGAAACACAGTGGCAGTTTTGTGGCTCAAAACAAAAATGCCATCATTCTAGAAGAATTGGACTTTGACTGAGCCTTTAAGACCAGTGATGGGTCGAGTTCTCCACACAGGTACCTACTTTTAAGACACAATTGAAGCCAATGGGAAAAAAAATCAATATTCTTTTCAATCAGTACCATGCATCAGTAGTAAGCTCTTAGCCTAGGACTCTTTGACATTTTTTTCTCATTGTTTCTTACTCTTTTTTTTCTTCGGTGTCTTTTTCCTTTCTGTCCGGGAGAGGCTTTTGTGGCAATCTCTCTTTCACCCTACCCCCTTGTCCTTCCAGTTTGACTGGCTGATTGTGTGTATCTGTACCAGGTACATAGTTCTAAGTATTCTTGTATGGAGTTCCCAGGTGCTACACAGGTGTGGCGTTTTATGATAACCCTGGATTCCCAGGTGTTACACAGGTGTGGCATTTTTTGCGTGAACCCTGGATGTTTCATCAGGTGAATGTCTGACTGCCCTGGATGCAAGGTTGCAAAAAGGCTCAGCCATTGTTTTACTATTTTGAGCTTTCTTTTGCGATGGGAATTTTACAATGCTACACCAGTGGTTCAAGTTGCAGTGTCCATCAAACTTTAAAGGGCCCATGTAAAGTAATATTTTTAATGCAATCTTTGAAAATGCACCTTTGTGTCTCATTCAACCTAATTTTCAATTTTCATTTTGTCATTTTCAGGGGTATTTTGGTGCATTTTTGGTTTTTATGTTTTTGCAAATGCGAATTTCCATATTCATGAGCAAAAGTGTGAAGTCAGTCCGGGCAGAAACCTCAATGTTACAGCTATTTCAGCACAAAACAGTTACCTGAATTGTGGATATTTTGTAGTTGTAAAGTTTCTTTTCTGTGGTGATTCGTTGTTGCTTTAGTACATGGCAATAAGCCAATGAGCAACGTTTTTGTCATAAATGCTTTCAATGAGTAGATTGTTTGGTTCAAATTTGAGCAGAAAACCCCTAAATTGAGCGGTGTCTTCCTGAAATGACATACAGCAATAGCGGCCTCAGTTGTCCGGAAAAGTATGGACATTTTTTATAATTTTTCGAAGAAGTGCATGTTTGAATAAAATTAACCAAAAAGGGATGTCAAATAGTTTTCGTACATTTAAGAGCAGTAGAAAGTTGCACAAAATTTGTTCCTAAGAAGAATTCATTTGATGGACACTTTAACCAACCACTGTCATGTTTGCCCCGTAAGGTGTCCAGGTAGTTTTTGTGTAGTATCCTTTCCACTTGTAGAAAATGAAGGCCGAGAAAATGAAGTTCAAGAAGATCTGAAACGTTCAAAGACTTTTTCAGGAAATTGTAAGATTATCCACATGTAGGATGATACATCATCCACCTAGTAGTGGGGAATTATTCATGGACTAAGCTACTAATATTTGCAGCACAACTTTTTTTTGCAACAAAAATCATTGACAGTTGATGGCAAGAACGTGAAATTGATTGATTACAGTATAAAATTGATCCCCTTTTTTTTGGGGGGGGGGTGGGAATGTTTATTTGTTCTTATTTTTCTTTCTCAACTGTCTTCTGCATTGTCACAAGCGCTTACATCTGAGCTAAAATGCATATTAGATTTAGCTCTTCGTTCCCTTTTGCTCATGTGTCATTGTGTCATTTCGTATTCCGTCTGACTGGCAGAGGGTTAAAATTGACTGGATAACGGACTAGGAAAAATGGTCGTCAACTGCAGTTGTCCTAAATGTACATGTTCGTTACAGTTTACAGAGCATCTCTGACAATGCGATTGTTTGGAGGAAATTTGTCTATTGGCACACCAGTGGTAGGGTAGGCTCAAAGATTGTAGGTACCCAAGCACAAAATCAGAATTACCTTTGGAACGTTTGAAACAGTCCTTCTCTTGTGATTTATCCTTTTTCTTCATAATCTTTGCTCCCATTTTTTTTTTTTTAAATAGGAAAGAATAGCCAGTTGCTAGTAATCGATAACCAGCGTGGGAAAACTCTAATCCCGCATTGTATACAATCAAAACGGGAGATGTGTTAACTACAGGCCACATAACTGTGCCCCTATAATCCCCATACGAAACCAGTGTGATGGAATCCCCGGATAATCAGATTTCGTCTTTCAATTCAGTGTTTAACCTTTGGTTTACGGTTGTCACCTTTTCAAAAAAAGTGCGTGCTTCTCCGCTGAAGAGAAAAAAATTTCTCCCCTTGCACGGCATGCTCCATTATCTCTTAACCCCGGACATGGTTGCGACGTGCCGCTGGAAAGCCCGGTATGTACATAGAGGATCCTAGCTGCCCCCGAGAACAAGGCCCTGATTCTCTCAATCCTGTCAAGCTCCTTACAAGGGCCGCGCGGGGAGCGCCACAAAAGAAAACCCCAGATAATAGAACGAGGGTCTATCATTTGCCTGCTTTTTGCGGGGAGATAATCTTCTTGAGAGTCGAGCCTCGGAGAGAAACGCCGCAATGCAGTCAACCGCGGCCATTGTGACTCCGGCAGAGAGAAGAGCGGCCGTGCAAAGGGGTGCTTGAATGAAACCCGTTGGCATGCCTACACGTGAAGTACAAGCAACCCCATCTATCTGAAGCAGATTACATAAGCCCTTAATCTCTTAAATTGTATGCTCTTCTGAGGAAGGGGGGGGGGGGGGATGTGCACGAGTTACAGGGCAGAGAAGAATAGATCCCTTCTAGAGCTTCTCTCTCCTTTTTGCTCTCAAAGACCCCGTCCTGCTGCTTCTTGTATTATCCGGGCCCTCGGCACGATAACCCCTTGGTCTCGCGGACATCAATCACCAATTTGTGACGCAAATCGCTGAGAGGCAGTTCCTTTTTCTTCTCTCCCTCGCTCTCTTCTTCGTCACATCATCAGCGAAACAATAGAAGCTCGGCCAGCACCCAGGGCCACTCTGATTCAATTGTCCGGCCAAGCTGTGGAACCGTGTAAAGGCATGCATAAAAAAAAAGAGCCGTCCTGAATGGCAGTAGGGCATCACAGAAGCAGCGCATTGGTTTTTTTTTTCATCTTGGGATAATGAGCACCTTCCACTAAACGAGAACAGGGTATTGAGCTACTGAGACCGGGGCTTATTCAGCCCCTCACCCATCAGTCTTGATTAAAGACACTCCATTTCTCAATTCCCCATGCCTCCACCTACCCTCGTCTCCTTCAGCAATCTTGATCGTTTGTGAAACAATCAGGCTCTGTGGGGTTTAAATTAGATTTCAGTTTGAAAGTAATTTTTTTTTTCAATTCAGTAGTGGTAGTTACATGAATGTCTTGCAAACTTAAAAACTGGGAATAGCCTGTTCATCACTTAAATCACTTAATGAGGAAACAAAAATCCTGTGGTGGAGTTCTCAGTCCATCTCCATGCCGCAAGTTGTCAGCACAGTCTTTGCACTGAGCCTGTGTGATTATACTGTTCAAGAGGGTTGTACCAGGCCAGGGCCAGTGCTTTGTGCCAACTTGTATTATGTGTCCTATTTTCACAAGATTGAGGGGATTTTCCATTGACAGCGTTGTTGCTTATCGCCTCAGTGCTTGTAAACAGAAGCCAGTATGGCTTCACCGATACCCGACGGCTTCTCATTCCTGAATACCCAAGGAACATACAACCTTCTTTTCTCTACCCCCCCCCTTTCTCTCTCTCTCTACCTCTTGTCATTAGTACCTCTCCGTCGTCGTGTTATCGGCCTCTTCATTATCAGCCTATTTGGCTTTGATCAAAAGTCCTGTCAGAACCTCTTTTACCCTTCGCTTAAAGAATGACACAAAAGACCTTTTTTTTTAATGGCTTGGGTCCGCCAGGGCTGTACAACTTTTCTTTCTTTCTTGATGGACAAGGGCTAGGCTTGCAGCCCAAGTACCCTCCTTGATTGCCAAATTGAAGGCAAATGATGGGACGGGTCAGCTAATGCACTGAGGCACATGAGAATGCAGCCTCTTTTCCTATTGTTGGTAAAAGGGGCTACCTCAACAAAATAACTCTTCAGTTCCCTGTTAACCACAAGAACTCCATTGGACGAAACAAGGCAGATTGTATAGTGTATCAACAACATCTAGACAATTCTCTTTTCACACCAGTTTGGTAGTCAGAATAACATACATTGTACATCTTAAAGTTATCTATCTGTGCTTTTTAGCATATTCAATTTTTTTTTCTCCTAACAAAATTTTCAATTTTGTTTGTTTAAAGTAAATGGAATAAACTACTTTTTTTCTATTAAAAGCTACAGTCCATCATTTGCAGCTATCCAAAAAGTGACTGACTTAATTATTGTTGAAAACATACTTGGTTGAAAGATAACAAGGGGACTAAACTCCTTATTCTTTCTGGCATGCTGTCATTTTGAAGAAATCAACGAAAGAAGGCCTTTCCAACGGTGCATCTTAAGGCGCACCATTGGAAATTTCCGTTAGTAGTTCGTTTTTATACGGGGAAGCGCGCGCAAGCGTTGACACGACGCACACGCTAGAAAAATTAGCAATTTTTAAAAAAAAATCTATTTCTCATGGCGAAGCTCAGTAAATAGCGTGGGGAGAGCAATTTTAGGTTGTGGATTTATGAATTTTTTTTAAACATAAGCTAGGTAGTCCCTTGTAACTCAGATTATAAGTTCTGTAGTAGATTTATGTTTAAAGAAATTGAGTGCACGTAGATTAGAAGTTTGTGATCTTGAAGTTATGTGTGTACTGGTATGTTCTTCAAAGAGGACAGTTCTTGGGAGAGGACACTTCTTCAAAGAGTACAATTCAAATCATTTTATATGGAGGGGAACCTGGTTACCAATTTATGATTCTTAATATTGACCTGGCATGCCTTCATTTAAAAAAAAAAACAGTCCCCCCCAAAAAAAAAATATATAAGTAAAAATCATACAAAAAGGGCCAACTTCTAAACTTGTTTATGTAGAATGCAGTTTTCTCTTTAGTAATTTACATACGCACAGGTACATGTATCTAGTCATGGAAAATCACATAATTATTGACAAATGGTTTCTTTTATCTGTAGGACTTGATCATGTATGTATGAAATGACCAGGGCCCGATTTCATGGCTCTGCTAACCACAGAATTCCGCGCTTTAACACCCTCTGCATTCTGTGCTAGCACTCGCAAAGATTTGGTGCTGACCCTGTAAGCACAGAATCCTTAGAACTTTACGGAATTTATGCATGTTTATAAACCAAAATTCCTTGCGAACCCGCTCAGAATTTTCTGCTACTGTTAGCAGGGATTTTTTGTTAACCAGTTCACGTCGGATGACGTGTTTACACGCAAAGGTTTTGCAGTATTCGGAATGGATAATGGATAGACACGCAACGAGCGAGGCCGGAAATATCTGTCTGCGACCCGCTCGCAGCGAGCGAGGCCAGAAAAATCAGGGTGTGCTACCCGCAGATGATGGCCTGAACCTGTCTGGGTCCGGTCGATGTCAAAATAATCCCGGTGCAAACTGGTTAACAGTAAGCACAGCCATGAAATTGGGCCTGGCTCAATTGATGAAAATTATCCTTACTGGTACTGTTTGTCCATTATTATTTTTCCCCCTGTTTTCTCATCCCCCCTTGTCAGAATGGACCAACTCACTGAATCGCATTCTTCGTTTTTGAATAAATTTTAATTTTCCACCTTTCCATTCAGTTTCTGTTCATTTTTGCTATGATTTCTGTATGTGGTTTTTTTTTTTTTTTTTTTGGTTTGATTTCTTTACTTTTTGTACACACAGTGGGAGCCCGCTTCAAGTTTTATCAGTATGGTAAGGAATATCTTTTACAGTGTGAATACGTGTGTAAATGTGTGACTAGTTTTGCCGGCCTTGCTTTTAACTGTGTAACTCATTTGCTTATGAAATAAACCAATGCTCTGTCATAACTGCTTCATCGCTACAACACTCCATACTGCGCTTGTGAAAAATAGAACCATTTATGTGCTCACGGGAACTGCAAGTCCGTAGGGCTGTGCCGTTTACTGAATATTCGAATATTCGATCATTCATCCAGTATCTGAATAACCTTTTCTTTTCCTAATCAAATATTTGAAAATGTGAGCGGCCTCAAGTTGATGATGAAAAAAACATCCACAATTTTCTTTTGATTGTATAATAAAAGGGCATGGTTTAATTGTTTGTCAAATGCCACACTTTTGCGGAAAGCCACTGTACACGCATGATTTGAACACTTCCTTGAGGGAAATATGCTCGGGTTTTTTTTCTTTAAAAATCGGTCGAATATCAGGCATTCCGATACCTTGAAGAAACATATTGATACATACACGATGATCTTTTTATTATTTTCTTGTAAGCTCTTTGTCGATTTTGGACAAGCTGCTGCGCACGCAAATCACGATCGGCGGCCGGCTTAGGCTGGCACATGTAAAAACTGGATCAGCGCATTTCGAATATTTGAATGTTCGATCAAGTTTACGTTAAGGCCGGTTCATTTTTCAAGTGAGAGCAAAGCGAAGTTTATGACGTCAAGAATTGAAGTTTCATTGTAGTGTTCGCTGTTACCTTAAGGAATTTGCTTCACATTGAAATTGTGACCCGCTCACAATTATGTCACAGAAAAAGTGAAATTGAAATACCGGTATGGATGGTTGGAAAGCCCACAGCGTAAGCTTTTATTTGGTATATAATAGAGCTCCATGGGCCTTATTCACGAGTCGGTCATATTGAATTGAAAGTTAGGTAAAATCTTAATTTTTTGAACTTGCGAAGAGAAATGAAAGCAATTTAATTCTAGTCTGCCTCAATAAACAATTTTTAATTTGTAATTAAACATTCCCTAATGTTTAAAGCCATATTTAAAAAGAAAATGACAGTAAAATAAGGCTGCATTGTGCCTGCATAAATAGTCTGGCGCCATCCAATTCAACAGTTAACAATTAATGAAATACATAAATAACAATTAATGAAATTTCATGATAATGAAATACAGTCAGGGAACTCGACAAAAATGGCCAACTCGTGAATAAGGCCCATGGCCCCTCCTGTTCTGGAGATATGACGTATTTGCATATTTATTACTTCCTTTGAGTTCTAATTACTCAACTGAGAAATTAAAGCTTTGAAATACCTGGCTCTGTTGTAGATTAGGGCACGATGCACTCAAAATTGTGGGTTTTTCCCCCACTTTATTCATCGAAATCAACATTTCTGTAAATGAACCCTGAAACTTTCGGTATTAAAGATATCATTCATGACAAAAAAATTAAAATCACATTTTGATGAAATGTTCAGCCTCTATCGTTGAGAGGGCCATTACACAATAATGCACAGCGCGACTTCAATACCCTTTTTTTTTGTGGAGCTGGTCACAATTTACCGGTATGAACTGGCCTTTACAATAGTCAAATACTACATTTTTGTTAAAATGCACAGCATTACAAGTCAGCGGCTCGATATTCCCTTGTTATGCATTCTAACCTAGATGCATATCTTAGATTAATCAGATGACCCAGAAACTTTAACAGCCTCGGTATATAAGCAGTGCAAATTTTTTTCAGAATATTGAATTTTTGATTTGATGCATCTCAAAAAAAAATAGACTTTGTTTTGAAAGGACTTGTTACTATACTCACGTAGTCACAGTGCACAGAGATCATGTAAAAAATTCCCTAAAACCTTAATACATTAACCTTCCTGCTATCTGAACAGTCACAGACAGTCAACAAAATCCATCCTCTTCAATATCATGCCTTTTACACAGGCTAGTCACCAACAGTCAGATTATATTTCGCGCAAGCACTGTGACTAGTCTTATTCAGTCAACAGACACAAGCAGGCTAGTGGTACGCACAGCTGGCTCATCAATCACCTACTGTCAAAGCATAGTTGTACCAAGTTACATAAACAGTCACAGCCATTCAATCATGCTTTATGTAGGCCGATAGTTCTTAATAAAAACAGTCACTTGATCGATTTTGACTGAAATGACAACTTGGCACAGAATGTATGTTTGCATAGGAGGGTTACTGTGAATTAAAAAGCCACAAATGATCATTTGCAATTATCCCCCAAAAGAGTACCTGCCGATTTCATGACAGAAACCGTGCTCAAAGTGAAGATAGGACTGGTATCAAACACCCTCTGAAATCATTCCAAGTGAAATGGTATCATTTGAAAGAAAACATTTTGTAGGATTTTGCAGGACTCGGCAGGCTGCACTCTTTGCTGGAATCCATTAGCGTCAAGAAACAAACTGAGGAGATTATTTGACATTTTTAATTTTCTATCTCAATAAGTTTAGCACTCAACCATTTGGATTTTTTTAACTGTGTAAGGGCAATTCCAGTGTAACAGAGCCAATTAGATGATATCTAATGAATGATTCAGAGAAATGATCCAAAACTCCTAGTCTGTAATCTCCTTGACCATTACTAGATGATGGATGTATAAGATTTGAAAAAAGTACCCAAAAAAAATCTGATTTGAAATGTTCTGTGATGCTGGAATTGCCCACAACGGTTCATTAAACTGTTTAACTCGATTAAGTGCATGTATTTGGAAACATATATCTGCATTAAAAACCTGCTCACTTTCATGTTAATCATAATCTTCACATTGAAAAATGGGTTTTTCTCCAGTGTTTTTCTCCAGAGTTGTTAACCCGTTTAACCTGAGTGATTCCTGAATCTCCCAAAATCCAACACTGCAATAAACAATTTCTATGCACCTAAATTAAAATTGAGCAACCCAATAAGCTGTCAAATCTGGGCTGTCCTGAAATTGCAATAAATTTGAAAAACACAGTGTTGGATTTAAGCAGATTTTGGAAAGTTTGGCCATATTAACGGTAGAATGTTTTATTTCCTCTTCTGCCTAAAGTGTGTCTGTTGATCAATTAACTTAGGTGCTTCTAAGTCGGTTGATATCAAACGTAACTCTAACTTGACTGCACTGACCGACTGTTCCCTTCTTGTAGATGCTTGCATGGTGCTTATTGACATTAATGTTCACAGGTGCACCATAGGCAGTGTCATCCACCAAAATGTAGTCACGCTGTTATGTCAGGCTTAATGGGAGGTTAGAGGTAGCAATGGGCTGCACTGTCTGTTGGAAAGTTGTCAATTCAGTGCAGTGTCGTAGTCGATTGCATCCGATGGATCACAAGTACATCACAAACCCATCACAAGTACATGTAGATCACAAGCCATCCTGGCCAGCCAAGTCAAATCACAAGCTTGTAAATGGACTTGTGACTTGGTTCCTGTTTTACTCGAGACTGAGCCTGTTATTTTTATTTTTATTTTTATTTCTGTTAATGAAACCAAGGATTCCTCAAAAGCACCCTGGGCACTGTAGCTCGTAAGCCTGAAGAAACCTGTAGAGAGGAGACAATGAGAAGAAATTACAGTTTTAGAGGTGGGAGGAAAACCCCAGAAGAATATTCTGGGGGAAAAACCCGTTGAATCAGGTAGGGACTGAAACCCCATCCACGTGTTGGCCCAGGCAGGGTGCGAACCCGGGTCACAGTGGTGAAAGGCGAGGAAAATACCGCTACACCAACCTGACCCGTGTACATGTACAACCTGTACATCCTGTACATGTGATGTACTTTGTGATCTATCTGAAGTATCAGGACTATGACACTGCTTCTGTGTTTGCAAAACCACATCAGGTGATGAAATAGTCCAGAGTATATGTGTAAGTGCCTGCAAGCTATTTATAAGCTGTGCCTTGTTGCATCGAGGCAAAAAACAAAACTGTGTGCATGCACATTTATATGTCAAATACATGTAGAACGATTTGCCGTGTGTTAACCAGACAGTACTTGCTATCCCAGTCAGCAGTGTGGCAAATATGCAGCACAAATTCCCAGCTTTTGTCATTGCACAGGAATTCAGCCACTGCCTAATGAGACAGCTGCATGGTGCTGTGCACATCTCATACCGCCCGATTAGTAGTTGGGCGATTCACGATACAGAACAAGTTGGCATGCGAGGTGTAAATCCTGCTTGCCCTGCAGTGCATGATGAGTAAAAGTCGTCATCCATTTGCAGAAACTGTCAATTAAGATTCTGTTGTCGGTAGGCGACAAGGAATTTGTAGTTTTGTGGCTTTTAACCTAACCCCTTGAGTGATTTACTCAGTATCTTCCTCACTCTTGCAAAATCCAGCACCATATGTAAACTCAACACCCAAACTGTTGGACCAAACTTATGGCGGTATGCCCGACTCAATGTAAAGCATATAATCAGTGTACTAGTGCAGTCCTCACTCCAACAGAATCAAACAAAACATGCAGTTGGATTTTGAAGGGTTGGGGTGGTTAGGGTTAATGCTTGAGATTGAATTTGAAATTTTATTTTAAGCAATCCAGATTTTTATTGAACAGACCTCTGAATGTGTACAAAGTTTGTGGTTGTTTGGTACCACACTTAAAAACTAAAAGACATGATTTATCGCTCAATTTCTTCATAAAAAAAGCCCTATAAATTTGAATCATCAAGCAAACAAAATCCAAAGTCGGAAAAATATTATCTTCACTTAAACAGGAGACAAGATTGAGGCACCCACGAAACGAGAGGCACCCCAGCCGCCGGTTACCAACTCGGCAGACAACCAATCAGCAAAGAGGTTATCGCGGGGAAGCGTGGCCAAGAAAACCTCCCTGCAATCCTTCTCTGACCTGGTGCAGCCCCCGCCAACGAACAAAGCAAAAGGTTAGACAATTAATCATCTTGAGTTAGTAAATACGTGTGTAAAGTACAGCAGCCAATTTCACAAAAACAGTGCGTAACTTACGCCATGTGTAGGACTTACGCAACAAAAATATTGCACAGCTGCGGAATAAACTAAAAATTGATTTCACGAAAGTTGGCATAGCTGCGCAACATTTCAAATAAGCTAAACATCTTGGATGAGGATAATAACAGCATTTACGATGGCTGCTCTTGTATGATTTTGTTTGTTCATGAAACAGTCGTTGAATCACCTCCGCCCACCATTTTGAAAACATATTTGTCTTCAGAAACCTGGGCAACTCTAAAAACTCTGTCACAAGTAAAATAGCAATTCTTTTACATCAAACACAAAGCTGTGAGTGTCTTATATCAACCTTGATAAGTTGTGCTGATGATGATGATCACGATTTGCTTGTACAATAGGTAATTTTCAGTCGCTACGCCACAACTTACGCCGCCTTAAATGATTTTGTAAGTTATGCCATAAGTTGTTGCGCAAGTCGCAGACTTATGCACTGTGAAACTATGTGAAATTGGCATGACTATAAAAATGTGGCGCAGCGTGAAATGTTGAGCATGCAGTTGCGCAATTATGGTCCAAGTGGACTTATGCCATTGAGTAAAGTTTCATGAAATTAGCAGCAGATCTCCCCCAGCAAAGTAATACTGAAGACTATTTCTTGGTGGTTTACTCCAGTTAATCAAATGTTGAGCCGACTTACACTCCTAAAAACAACTTGTATTTCAACACACATTTGCCGCTAAAGTGTTCCGTTAAATTTCCCCAAAATTCTATGACTTTGATCAGATGAGACAATAGCATCAACGCCTGAATCAGAGTCTAAGCCAGATGATGTGGTGGAAGAGGAGGAAACGAAAGACAACGATGTCGAAGAGGAGGCGGAACGGACTGAGGAGGCTCCGCCCACTGAGGAGATCACTCCAACAGCAGAGGAAGAGGAGGTAGGTTTGCTGCAGAAAATATTGCTATGCACAAAATTTACCATTTTAGTCAAAACAGTTTGCCGGCTTAAATAACATGCCATTTGGTACATTGTTTGTAAATGGTTACCAGTTGAATTGCTAGTACACCAATTTTCTTAGCAGCAATTCATGCTTAGCAGCTCCCTGAAAGTGGGTCACAGTTTGCTGGTTGGGCATGGATGGAAGTTGGTTTTCATGGCTAGTTAGTGATCTAGGTTGATTAGTCAGGTTACTGGCCAGTTAGTTAAGTGATGTTATATTTTGCAACTTGTTTGTTATTTCTTCATTGTTCCATTAAGTTGTGGTAAGTTGGTTTAAATTGTGGTCTGTTAATCGATTGGTAAGCTGTAATATTGAACCAAAGTAAATGTAGAGAATCTAAACATGTCTTAAGGCCGGTTCAAACTCAAAATTAAAGCGAACGGAAACACAGATTTGTGACGTCATGGCAACTTTTTATTTACTTATTTATTTTTTGTAATATCAATATATATATTTTTTATAATGACTCTTTTGGAATATATTTGTTTTTATATTTTAAAACCCAGTCCTGTAATTGGCGTTTTTTCTGCTGTTGGATACAGATCTTGCTTTAGTACAAGAATAATTCAAATCACTCATGTACTTTTCAAGTTACGGAATTTTAAACACAACCACCGTGTTGGTGTGCGTTCTTTCAGCAAAACGAAAACAATTCACACACATCTCTATGTGATTTGTTTTCATTTTGCTGAAAGAACACTGAACTTTTTGTGACCCGTAAACAGAACCTTAAAACGGTGGTTGTGTTTAAAGTTCCTTTACTTGAAAAGTACATGAGTGATTTGAATGATTCTTGTACTACAACAAAGTTTATGAATTGGGCTTTCATATCCTAGATTTTGAAAGTGCTGCGTGCAGAACTTCACTAAAACAATGGTCCCGACATGTGGCTTTCGGGTTTTTTTTACTCACCCTGTATACAAGTACCTACTGGTCTTATTTATAAAAATTTCACATCTCTGATTTGTCTCAGGAGTTGATGGATACCAATGACTACATCCTCGGGGAGTACGCGGTCCTGGAGAGAGAACAGAAGCAGATCGATGAGAGAGCGTCCACTGTGGAGAAGGCGCTCAGGAAAGCCATGGAGAATGGTAAGTTGAACAAAGTCAGAACCTGTGATGGCAGAGATGGTTCAATTGATTAGCCGTATGTATACCGTAAAAAATCTTGCAATTTCAATTTCTGGCTTTGCTTTGTTTAATTGGTTACAGGTACTGACGATGAGGCACAGCTCATGAATGAGTGGTTTGAACTCGTGAACAAGAAGAATGCCCTCATACGCCGCGAAGAGCAGCTCAACGCTATGTGAGTTCCTACCCAATAATTCAAACACTGGGAACAGGGTTGATAGTTACACATTTTTAACTTGGGGAGGGGGGGGGGGGCAAATTTTGTGGATTGCTAAGCAGAGAAAGTTGCCAAGCTAAATCGGTTAACAGAAATTGTCATTATGCATTACAGTGGTGCAAAGCCAAAATTCAAAGTGGGGTCGATTGTTTTTGTTTTCAGGTGAACTTTAATCTGTAATTCATGTTTTACCATTTTTCTATTTTTTGGTTCTATCATACATCTCTAAAACCTTTTTTGGTTTTTTTTAAATTACATGTAGTTCGACTGTTCATTCATTTATAAGATTTGAGGCTTTGCATGGTGGAGTATCGGTATCGTTTGGGTTTGCGGTAACACCATGTGGTAATAACTACTGCTTAGAAGATATTAGTTCTGAAAAGAACTTGTCCTGCTTATTATCAACTTTCGCTATGTAATTTTTGTTCCGATAAGAACAGTCCTGCTTTAAGTTCTAAAAGAATTTGTCTTTGTTCATTCACTGTAACACAACTGTAGGATATTTAGATGCCATTTCCTCGAAGATTAGTTTTACAACTTTGTGGTCAACTTGAATATTTCTGTTACCACACTCAGCACCCGTAAGTGTTATATACCATTGGAAAGGTCTTGTTCTGCATAATCCAGAGATATCTCAGATCTTTAAAAGTCTGACTCTGTGTTCATTTTGTGATGACAGGTTACATATTGAAAATATCGTGCACACCTCTGTTTTTTTTCTTGCCGAGTTGCCGGGAAAAAAGACAATATTTGTGTCAAGTTCTTCATCCTTCTTCATTTTGTGTAATATAAATTTCATGAGAACTGAATTACTAATCACTATGACAGAGAGACTACTAACAGTTGTAACGATCATTCATCAGTAGCACAACCAACTTTTCTTTTTGATGTTTTAGAATAGCATGGTGTGTTTGTGTTTTGTTTCTTTGTCTGGAAAAATGTGTGGAAAATATTATTTATTTTTAGTTATGCAGGAATGGATTTGGAATGTAGGGGACGTGATGAAACAAATTTATAAAGAAATGAAATCTAGACTAACTAACTGCGTTGCAAAATCAGGCTCCAAAAAAAACCTCTCCCCGCCTTCAACAGGAATTGATTGAAATGGTTTTAAAAGCACTTCACACAATTATTTAGCAATTTCCGCCTTATTGTCCTTGACTTATTGTAGCTTTCCCCAAATGAATGCTTATCTCCCAATGTGACGACAGTTAATATGGTAATATTCAATTATTTTCCAAATTTATGAATAGAGAAACCTTTCTGCTCCGGGGCACCGATCAACGCACTCGCACCACCCCCCTAAAAAAAAATTAGACTTTATGGTCTTGTAGCATTAGTGCAAGCCCTTGCCTTCAGAAAATGAAAGGTCTCGGACAATAGTGACTTTTTTGTGCGCGCTTCAATTGAGATGGATTATCGGCGCTGGCCGCAATTGTCCCGCCCGGGCTGAATGGGTTGGCGGTTTGTCAGTGCTAGGCAGGTCGCTAAAGCACTAAAGCCCAGCATGGGAGCTCTCATATTGAAAGCTCCATCTCTCTCTCCCTCCTCGTGGGGCAAGGCAGACTGATCTCTCCCTGGCACGGCGAGCCACAGTCCGCTGGGCCCTGTCTCAGGTGGACTGGTCGAGCATGCTGGACTCATCCACGGGGGCCCATATGGCACTAACGAGATCCTCCCCTCATGAATGTCAGTAGCTGTGGACAAGCCACTCTGTCAAGCTCTAACTACTCCAACCCCTCCTTCTTCTTTTTCGGCTCTGTGATTATTTTAAAGCAAAATTGTTGTTTCGCGGGCGCCATTCCAAACAGATATGAAAGACTATTGCTTTTACTGGATGGGTCATTCTATAAATTTAGGGTCCAGAGTGAGACATTTCTTTACCTTTCTGTCCCTGTTACCTTGGTGTTTTGTAATATGCCATTAAAGTATCATTAAGAATGACTTCAAACATAATAATAATGTAAAGCACTTTAAGCGCTGTATAAGAACCCATTGTTATTATTGTTATTCTTGTACGTGTAAAGGTACCACTAAGGAGACATGTTATCGAAATTTCTTCGCACGATGGGAGACATCGGTCATTAGGGAGACATTTTCATGTCTCCCAAATGTCACAGCCCCCTTTAGAGGCACAATTTTAATGTCGCAATTAGGTTATATTTGTTGCTCGTGGTCTAATTAGTAAACATACTGAAATTCGTGAAAAAAGGACAAGGGAATATTGGGTTAGGGCACATGTAAGTTTGAACAATTGTGTGCACAAGTCTATGGGGAAAAGGGACAAGGGAATATTGGGTTAGGGCACATTTAAGTTTGAAAAAATTTGTGCACAAGTCTATGGGGATGTCTCCCAAATGTCCAATCCAGGGTTGTAGGTATTATTATTTTTATTATCATTAAACGTATTTTATTTTGGTGTGTAAGTAGTTTGCTATTCATAATCACTCTTGAAGGATGACTGCATCAAGGAGTGCATCGGAATTATGACAATGCACTATGGCAATTGATCTGATATAATGGCTTGTGTTTCTCCATCGGATACCATTTTGCATAGCTATTAGCAAAGAGTTAATACAGTCCACTCCAATTACGTCCAGACACTCGCCAAATCTGTTGACTTTGTAAACCCTGTCGGTCATGTAGAACAACAGCAAATCGCGGCAACAAATCTCATTAAATGATTTTATTTTTATCATTTTTCTGTCGCTCCCTAACCCTCAACTCAAGAAAAAAAAACGTTCCGTGACTCCCGAAAGAAGGGAGGTTTGCTATCAAGTTAGCCCGTAGAGACTCTACGGTCAAATCGATATAATTACATAAGGGACTCCCTCGAATTATTATTCGTAGCTTCTCTACGAGTCGTGATTTGTAAAATTTTTGGGTTTTTTTTTTTGTGGTCGTTTTTCTTAAATGCCTGGTTGAATCTAATCAATTTGCGTTCTGTTTCATCCCGACGCGACCCCTCATTGACCATCTAGGGAGAAGGAACACGACTTGGAGAGGAAATTTGAGATGCTGAACCGGGAGCTGAGGAAGATGATGGAGATCGAAGGTAAGAAGAGGGGCTGCGTGAGTCCCTGCGGAACGAGGGAGGATGCGGGAGACAAAACGATGCAGTTCCCGAGAAAAAGACCAAGGGGCAATTCCATGAGAAAGTGTACATAGGAAACGTATGATGTCTTCAAAAATGCAAGCTTCACAACCTCAGATGCGGTGTCAAATTAAAGGGGACAGCAAGACCTTTCATTTGAGTGCAGTGGCAGTGAGGTGGAATATGGTTTAGCGTAATTTTTGTTTTCGAGACACAGGTTTTTTGTGGCTAAAATTATGAATTTTAGGTAGATGTGTTGGCACTTTGTTCTTATAAGCCAAGTGTTATTTTGAGAGTTTGTTTTGAAGAGGAAGGTTCATATTCTATGCCAAAAGGGTTTTTTTGGTTTGATTCAAAAGATGTCATATCCACAATACTGCTTCTTAACCTGTTAGTCCCTGTACCGGCACATGTGTCCCCAGTACCGCCACATGTGTCCCCAATACTCTGTGGTTATATGAATTCAGCAGGGAATAAATACAATGTAATACAATGAATACAATGTAATACAACAAAGTACATGTGCTCATGGGCTTCAAGAGCCAAATGTCAGGTGTTCTGGTACAATAAGACAAAACTGGGCCCAGGCAGTAGTGGAGACAAAGAAGAAAACAAAACGAATAGGGTTGGTTTTGTTTTCCCCAGATTTATTGATATTTCAAATTAGGTTTTGCCCTTAATTGATATTTGTAATTTTTGATATTTCTACTACACATGTTTTAATGAGGTAGTATTTAAATCGTGAAACAAAAATGTTTTAAAGGAAAAACAATTGGAAGTTCCATTTTCATGACTACAAAACATTCAAAACTGTAAAGGCCTTTAAACGGCCATAACTTGGCAACGGAATGTCCAATTGAAGTGCAACCAACAGTATTGTAAGGAGACTTGTATTCTCTTTCTTAATCCTGCAAATGCTCATTTCAACCTCTGCCCAGTTGTGCCTTGTTTTTAGTCAGTACGCCTCACAAATTTGTTTAAGTGGAGGAAGAATTTCACTCTGTCATCTTCTCTGGACAGATTGGCAGAAGACGGAAGAGGAGCGAGGACGGGAGCAGCTGCTGCTGGAAGATCTGGTCATTCTGGTCAACAAGAGGGACGAACTGGTCCAGCAACTGGACGCACAGGAGAGAGAGTGAGTTCTTGTTTGTCTTGCTATGGGCTCCGCGCGCAAACAAGTGAGGGCACTGTTGGGCCGCTTTCGAAAACCCAGTGGGTGGGCACAGCGCGTGTGCGTACTGCTTCGCGCGCTTATAACGCGGTGGATGCACGACTTAGTTCATTCTGAATGTGTACAAAGCCATAGCGTCTTTGCGTGAGCGTCAGGCGTCATTGGCAATGCGTACGAATGTCTCTCCCAGTGGTCTCCCCCAACTCTCCCTTTCTCACCGTTGAGGGGGTACTTGTGCACGGAGCCCGTATCACGTAGATGGACGTTATTACAAACCAAACAAAAGTCAACATAGTTAAAAAAAAAAAAAAAAAGGGGCAACTGTTGAAATCACTGAATAATTAACAGACACTACCCGATCTAGATATCCCCTCATAATCACTGGTTGCGTAACTGTGCAATTTTGGACAAGAACGCTTGAAACCACGCTTGAATTTATGCAAATTGCTACCTGCCTTCGACCATGTTCAATCGCTTATCATTGTATCTCGCATTCACATGTCCAAATTTCGATGAGCTGAAATTTGGAAGTTGGTATTTGTAAATGTGCAGTCCCAACCCTTTGTCATGCCTACTTACCTTCGTAATACTCAATATCTTCATTGTATCATGCCTTGTCAGCAGAAATGAACTCTTCCCATTGCTTGGTTATTTTAGATCAGTTTCACAAATTCTGTACGATATCATACGTTATTGTACTTTGCTGTCAAGTAATTTCACCAATAAAGGTCAATTTCCTTAACTTTTTGCAGTTTGGCATAAATGTTGCAAGTGAAAAGAAAAGAAGAAAAAAAAACAAAAAAAACTAGAAGTTGTGATAGTATTTGTGAGTGTTTTGTTCGGCGTTGTTCCCCCCAGCCATCCTCTGGGGGTGAACACCCTGGCGTACTTGTTGGCAGTACCCCTAGTAAAGCCCAAGCCGAACTCGCTTGCCCATTCTGTCCCAACAATTTGGCCTGCCCTGGGCTATTATTGGAGGCCCATTCAACCCCCCAGTGAAGTTAGCCGACTTTCTCTTGTTTATTTCATGGTGGCGGTGATAGCGATCTTTTTGTGTCGGATTCTCGAGAAACAAGCTTGCATTTTGTTGTGTTTTTTTGTCAGGGAGTTGAGAACAGGAGGACTTTTTTTGTATATTTTTCAATAATATATGCCGGTCATGAATCAAGTCGTGTTTCTCTCTTTCCCTCACTCGATGACAAATCTACTGAGTGATGCGCCTTTTGAAAATCTCCCATTACATATTTGATATGAGTCCCCACGGCCCGTTAGTGACCTAATGCAGTCGTAGATTGGACAGTAAGTCAGGATCTTTTCTCCCGTACTGCCAGTCATCAATCAAGTTAAACTTGAAACAAAAAGACCAAAAAAAAAAATAATAATCCTGCATGGGAGTGCGATAGCACACAACAAACATCAGTTTCTCCATTGCAGCGGAAACACATTTAAAAATAACACTGTCCTGGCCAGTACAACGGCTTGTCCGATGCCCCTAAGTCTTCCAAGCAATTTGAAGACAACAACGTTAATGAAAAGAGAGACCATGATAGAAAAAATAGCAGAAAATAATAAAAAGACAGGCCTAGACGAAGGCATTTGTAAATGTTTAATGAGGGGGATTAGGAGAGGCATATGAATTCTTAATGGCCAAGTACCGGCCAGCTCTGATTCGCATTGTTGGCTCTTTGATGGGAACCGGTGTATCGGTGAAATAGTACACTGGGGAGGCATGTTATTACAGGCTTAGCCTGCGTTGGACGCAGGCTACCGACCTCTTTGCATTGGTACATATTACAAGGTGCTGGTCTTGTGGTGGGGGGGGGGGGGGGAGAAGTGAGCGATCAGAGAGTTTCGTGGGTTGTGTGTCTTGCCGATTTATGCTCACATTACCATTAATGTTTGATGTTCCAGAAAATACTCGGTCCTTGAAAGCCACCAAATAAGTCAAATAATAGAGAAAACAGGAACTTCTTTGAAAGAGAGCATTTGTTTCTATGTCATAATAGCAGTTGTCAGACACAGTTCTTAGCCCCGGGTGTAGCAACGTTATCGGGTTCCTGAGCTTTGGTAAAAAAAAAAGTTTTGCGGTAAACATCCTTTTTTTCAAATTCGTTGTCCTTTAGGGCTGAGGAGGAGGCAGAATATCTGGACAACATACTCCAGAGAAGGCGCAAACGGAAAGAGGACAAGTGCTCCATACAGTAGCAGCAACGCATGGGAAGTTGGCCCTGGAAGTCAGGGTACCAGTTCCCGTTGTGCAGCAATGCAGGAAGCAGTCGCAGTCGCTCTGGGCACCAGACTCATCTTATGGAACATGGAATCTCTGTGGTGGATTTGCCTGCTTTAGTTGACGGAGGTGTTGGCATGAGTTGTGTGTGAATGAGTTTGTGTTCAGCCAAAAGCAAATGGTACAGCACACTTTGCTTCAAAAATCACATCACACATTCATAAATACCTAAGACAGTTTACCCATTCATATTGGTAAAGACCGGCTGGCTGGTCTTAAACACTTTTCCAGTGTCAAATGAAATTTGGACTCTATGAAATCCGGTGCCTTTTACCGTTTTATTGGTTGAACGTTAATAATCCTCCCGTAGACATGCGCAACACTACCAGTGAGTCAGTATTTCATAGTCCTAAATTCACACTACACCGGCACAGCTGCGCACTGCGCCACATCGCACAGTGAGCGTGATGCGCGCACAAATCTTCATATATCAGGATTGTTTACGACAGGGACATGCCATAATACAGCTAGAGGGGTGTTTCGAAAAACATGAAGTAAAATGGCTGAACAGAATCGTTGGAAATTTATAATTTTTGACTTGTTTTGACTTTTGGACCGAAAAAGGTATTTATGAATGGGAATAAACGTGTGCTTGGCTGGTATTAAACACTATGTTTAAGACTTCGGTTCGGGTAATTATCAGCATCAAGACTCCAACCAGTCTAAAACATAGTGTTTAAAACTGGCCAAGCACACATTTATTCCCTTATTACCAAGCTCTATTGTGTGGCAGAGAGTATGTGAGAGTATTGTCAGTCAGCTGGGTTTTTTGTTTCCCCCTGTAATCCTTTTCATCAGAGTGACCAATTTGGCAACAATTTTAACAGGTTTTGGACCGCGAAGCGTTCAGTCATGGAGATGCTGCAGATGTATATGCACCAGAGGAACGCATGGTTTAAAAACATTACAGACAGATATGGGGGAGGGGGTGAGCACTGGTTGGCATTGAAATGATTTCTCGGCATTTTTGTAGTTGGCTGGTCAGTCCCTTCCCCCCCCCCCCCCCCCCCCCCCCCCCATTCTGGCGTTTCAATCAACGCTCTTGTACCCCTTCACGCTTGGGCACCCCCTACTCCTTCTGCCCCGTCGCACACCGCTTCACTTTCGCCCGGCGTAAAAAAATCATTAAAAGTCAGTTTGCTTCCGCGAATCTACAACCACTTAAGGACCTGTGCCCAAGGATTTTGTTATTCATGCAGATGTAAAGACCGTACGTTTCTTTCTTTCTTTCTTTTTTTTTTTCTTTTCGCGGAGTGGATCTTTAAAAAAAAAAAAATATCATAACGATGCGGGAATTTCAACGGTTGATTTTTTGAATAATACATCCGCACTTCCTGTGTAGCCTTTGGTGTGTTCTCTGCCTAGAATGGGTAGGCCATTAAGGCGAGGGGAAATATTATCGTTGCGCAGAGCTCTTAAACATTGTTTTTTCCTTTCTTTCTTTCTTTCTTTTTTTTTTTTTGCTGCCGCACAATAACTGAACAATTGTGTGTGTATTTTCATTTCATGGAGGCTTGGAGCATTTTTTTTGTTAGAATGACAATATCAAGGTTTTGCAATATATATGTGCTGTAGAGATGCTTTTTATTTTGAGTTGCAATTTAGGAGTGTGCTATTTGCGAATTTTTTAGATCAAACGTGCTGGGTAAGGGTAAGGTTTTTGACATTTCTTTTTCCGGTAATTTTTTTTAAAAAATAGACATGTTTCGGCAACTAGTCTGTGCTTTAAGTAGACGTTCTCGTTGTGCTATGGGTTGACCGTGTCTGTAGGGCTCATAGCGTTGTATGTAGGAAGGGACATGTGTGAGCTGCGCGAAGTAAACGCTAGATCTTTGCACATGTGCGTTTAACAAAAAATGTCTTTCAGTTAATACGACAAAGCCAGCATCTATATTAGGTCTAATTTTGAGCTGGTTTTTGTTTTTTCCTTTTCATTGAAGTGAAATCAAGGGTTAGTTTATAGACTAATTGGGCGACACGCTCAGATAGTACCAGGCACTCCAGGCTCCTTCGACCAATAGGGTTACCAAAATGCAAGCGTGCTTTGTCTTTAAGAACGTGTGCGGCATGCGCGCGGACATGGTGCCACCAATGGCTTCTGGGTTTTTTTCTTCACACAATTGTTGTCTCCCAAGTAGCTTTAATCATTAAGTATTCTATTTTGATGGAATGGGCTTGTAATACTTTTGGTGTTGTAATTGTAAGATTCGATCCAGTATAACGAGAAAAATGGGTGAAGTAAATATCAATCCAAATTGGGATCCCCTCTTTTAAATTTAGTGAATCCAAAAGCATGTTTAACATGTATAATGGTGCTATGTGCAGCTGTGGTAAATGATCGAGGCCAGAATGAGTGTTTGGTGGTGTACCCTAACGTGGCGCACTTCGAAGCATACCCAAATTTCCTCGTGTAGTGTTGCCAAACCTCTTTGTTGACAAACCTCAAATTCATGCAGTGAAATACTGGTACTTTTACCTTATTAATGCTTGCTGTTTAACCTCTGTGAACAATTTCGGTTTCATAAAATTTAAGCCGAAATTAAAAAACGGTGGCGTCCGGAAATTGGGCACAATTTGGCGGAGTGTTCCCTAACGTGGCGCACTTAAATAAATCTCGGGAAATTCCAAATTAACATTTAAGAATTTCTGAAAACTTGATAAATTCTGATAAATCATTATTATCTCTACTTACATACCCAGCCAGATGTTTGTCACAAAATTATTTTCTTATTTTTCGGGGCATTTTCAAAGGGTTCACTTTGCACTTGAAAATAAAATCGGAAAATCACGCCAAAATAAGTTTTTCTTTTAACTTTGTAGCGGGTAAATAAATTCGCGATTTATGAACGGGAGTGTTTATAACTTGATGAAATTTCACTTTCTGTGAAATTTCAGTTAAAACTTTTGCTCTAGCTAGGCGCTACAGGCGAAAAATCAAAGTGCGCCACGTTAGGGGGCGCGCCACGTTAGGGTACATCAACAATTTAAACAATGGAGGGTATGGCGGGCCACGCGTGACAAATTAGCAAAATCGGCTTAGGATCGTGTTTTTGCACAGTCATTGAATCTGCTTAGTGTTCGTCAACCTTTGACCTTTCTGTTCCCATGTGGTTACATTCCCACATATGTATAGTTTTGTTTGTGCAGCCATGTACGTACCTAGTGACAATCGCTATTTTTTTTTCATCAAACTTCCTAGCTTGTCCGGATGAAATGTTTTGTCTTTTTTTTCCGTGCGAATTGCCGGATTGCGCAAATACGACGCCCAGCAAAACTCCAGTGCCTTTTTAAAAATCTAATTATTCTCTTTTTTTCCGCCAGCAACTGCCGCAGTTAACAACAGAACAAACCACGATAGCGGTTACGTAACGTGTATGAGTAATGTATAAATATGATATCGATCTGAGATATGGTTTCATGATTGACAGTTTGGTCGAGATGTTTTTGTGTGTTTTCTGTGTATAATTATATAAAGTACCGTGTACAAACCTACACGTGTGATATGAGAGTCTATTTATGGAGGGGGAAAACAAGGGACTAGGGAATGTGTGTGTGTTGTAAATTGCTGTCTTCCTGTAAAAAACAATGAGAGTATAAAGCTAATGTTAGATTGCAGCAAGTGGACGTGGTGTACATTATTGCGATGCACATAATGATGTGAAAAGGAGAAAGAAAGAAATGGTTTAAAGCAACTCAAATGATTAGCAGCAAAATGATGAATTAAATAATTTAATTTATAAATGCGTGTAAGATGCAATTTGTTTTTTTTTTTGCAACAATATGATGTTTTGTGAAAAGGGAATGCCTTATAACTTTTTGGCTTAGGCCTATACCAAACATCGTGGAGGTGATGAAACTGCACTTTTCCTTAATAGTCTGTTGAAAACTGTCTGGTGCCCTTCCTCTTTCCCGGTACACTATCCCCATTCTGCGTTATTAAACGTAAGATCTTGGTTTCAAAAATCGAGAACATTTACAAACGTCGCATGGAATTAGCATAATCCTGCACTTACGAGTTAATCAAACCGTATAGAACGAGTCGGAATATAAATTATTTACGGTCGGGTTTGATCCCGTTCCTCAAAATCCTTTAGACGGCTAAGTATAATTTCACCGTATGTTTTTGCCATCAGCTCGGCTGGCGGATGTTGCCGATTTTGGAGGGGAAAAAAAGTTTGCAATTTGTGCTTCTTTGTGCATCACTACGGAGCTTTTTTTTTCCCAACCAAAAATTCTTCCCTTTTGTCTTTCTGAACATCTCATCATTGATACGGTGGACATTGATTCGTGGGTATATTTTGAGATACATCTGCCAGCTTTTTTTTTCATAATTAATACGGACCGTCAATAATTTAACTTTTTTATCGCGATCTCTTTTATTTCAAATTTACAGAAGTGTCCTGTTTACATGTAAAACCTATTATGTTTTCAGGTAAATCACTCTCATTTCGTGTTGTGTTAAACGAATATCTGGATTTGTTTTTGAGCAAACAAAAGTTCTGTTTTAGTTTGTATAATGTAATAAAGCGTTTACGTGTACAGAGTGCACCTCACGAAATGTATATTTAAGAAAAAAGGTAAAAGAAAAAGCTATTAAAAAACCTTGCACCGCTGCGCCGTGACGCGTGTTGCCTTTTCGTGCAATGAAATTAATAAGTACCTGAGGTTATTATCTGTAGTCATCCTGAAATTCCCGGGTGTGCAACACTTTGGGAAATAAAGAAAAGTAGTGGGCTTAAAAATAGAATTTAAAAAAAAATCTGCTTCATGTCGGGCCAAGATACATGGGATTGAATTTGGCGCGGTGTAAGACGTAGTCCTGGGCGGTAAGAAAAGAGAACGAAAAAAATCTCTGTGCCCTGGCGGAACACTGGCAATCTTTCACCGGCAATTTTTCTAATTGTGTCCCGCCATGGCTCGGGTAATAATCACGCTGCTCCTATCCCCACCGCGCTTCCCCGCGTGATAGGGTCCCGAGTCGACTCCTGCGCTCTTCATCGTGCATGAGTGTCAAACTCCTCCGTGAAAATTGTTGTCGCAGTGTTACAGCAAAGAAGAGAGGGGGGAAACAAAATGAAATTGCCCGGCATTGTTGATTAATCGTGTCGCTTTAAGACCGTCACTTGGGCTCGAATCAAATCAAATTTGGATTTGGTGGGGGAAGGGGATCGAGAATCCTGTAGGGACCCAAGTCCCACGTGCGTATCGCTTCGCTTCGCTTGGC